GACATATGGAAACCCATACACATTTAACAACAGAGGAAAATTTACAAGTCATGAGGTGTTCAAATACAGATTATGCAAGAATCATACATTGGATTTCAAGATGTTTGCCCAATGTACAGTACTCTTGCCCACTTGCATGCACTGAAAACTTATTTATAAAGCAGGTCTCAAATTTGTCAAAATGGCATTCAACACCTTCTGCTACTCTCACAACCTCATTCTGCCACACCTTGTTTTGGACGATGCTGAGGCCTTCCACTTTGTGTGGGCCTTGCTTCCTCATAGCTAAGGGACTCAAGTTACCAGTGTACCAGCTGGAACTGCTACCTGCTTCCATCACTGATCTTCTTCAAATAGACTGACAAGCTGGACTCTCTCACTGCATCAAACAGTGCCTTATTGTCTGGCTACCTGCCAGCTACCCTCTGGCAATCATTCCTTGTGGCCCCTGTCACAAAATTGCAGGTTAATTCCAATATACCTTGGCTTCCAGCATCCAAGGCTGGACCCAGAGGTGAGACAGCCAGTTCTCCTGCACACCACCACATTTAAAAACAACACAGTGAAAACATCTGTGGATCATTTTTACTGGCCATCAATCTTTTGATAGTAATAAATGAAAAAAATCCTTCTTCACATTACTTCATGTTTAGTGAAAATGTTCCTATGTATGACATACTGTGCTCTTTTTTTTACAATTGACTAAATTCCTGGAGGAATAAATTGTCATTTTTTGTGGAACCTTTGCCTTTACATTTACTTGAAAATCTTACAAGAAACATCTCTGAGATTTTTCATTAGTGAAGCACACTGAAAAGTGATATTCTTAGAACGTACAGTAAGTTGAAATATGAACAGAGAACAGAAAGAAGGAACATGTATTTGAAGTGGATGTACGGGTGCCGAAAGGAGGCAAGATGGATATTAGCAGCTTTAAGGGAAATTTCGTCGTGTTTTTATTTTTGGTCTGTGTGCGTGTTGCATATTTTATTTTGATTTAATTTGTGGATTGCAAAAAAAGCAACGAAATGACCGCATCTTTTTTTCTCGAGTTTTTTGATTCGGTCGCCGGGATGCATTTCGGTCGAATTTTCATTCTAGTTTTGTGGTGTGTTCTGAGCAGTAATGGGAATCTTCGTACTTGGAGAGAAGGTGGTTCTTCCGAAGACTGTGGGATTGATTTTCTCACGCTTTTTTTTAAACGTAAAACTTTGCATCCCCTGCTTTTTGATGATTGCTGATGCGGAGCAAAAGTGAAAATTCGCGTGTTCTTTCCTGTCACGCAATTATTGGCTGTGTCAGAAATAAACTGCATTTTTTTCATGGGGCATCGATGAAAAATTTGCTGTTTTTCAGATTGAAGAAAAATTAGTATTTCTGAATAATTGCTGGGAAGGCCTTGATGCATTTTTAGAAAAGCTTCAGCATGGACGCAAGTGATGAAAACTTATCAGCTATGACGTGGATGTGGCTGGAAATAATCTGACGGAATGAGACGGAATCGGATNGGCTGGAAATAATCTGACGGAATGAGACGGAATCGGATTGCAAACACGGGGGATCAGAGTTTTAGGTGACGTCAATGCGCTGCAAATTTTGGCACTGTTCTTTTTATAGGCGACGTATCACTTTTCTAAAAATATTGATTGCCGCTGTGCAGCAGTGATATCATTTTCTTTAGGAAGCAAGTTTTTCAATTGTTGACCCGATGGAGGACCCACAATTGGTCTATTTTGCGATACAATCGATAATTACAGTAAATTGTCTTGTCAATAATGAGCTAGCGTATCGATTTTTCGCGCACTTTTTGGAGACAATATTCTTGTGGTCTTCAAATTTATGTCACGTTTGGCCGATCCGGGATAAACTTAAATCGAGGATCAAATTGAAAAAAAAGAAATATTCGTGGGAATTTTTAGCTTTTTTGTATGAAAGAAGTCCGTAGAGCAAATTCCTTCCTTATGGGCTAATTTATTTTTGCGTTTATCGATAATTTTTGAAGAATCGCATATTTTTTGCTGTGACTTGCTGTTCACTTCTGCGTTTGATGTGGGCTTCATCAAAAACATTCAAATGCAAGGCTGACATTTTTTTAGTGAATCCTTGTCATTTGATTTTGATAAATCAACTACTGTATATTGATTCAAGTACTGTAGTAGTCTAATGTCGTCTAATTTAATGTTTCTTCCCTGAGCATGATTGCTCAAATTGTTCCAAAGATTAGGTACTGATGTAGATGCAATATTGATCTGAAAATATACTCATTCTTGCTTCCCGGGCCACGTGGGGGGGGGGGGGGGGGGGGGGTCATGCATTCCATCAACCGAAGGCTACTGAAATGTGCCCAAATTGAGGAGGCCTAAGTCGGGAAAAATCCGAGAGACAAATTGTCTTTCCTTAGCAAGATTTTTTCATGCAAATCCTATGCCAGGAATGCAGGAAAAAATGCCACTCAGGTTTTTAATTTTCATTTAAAATGTTCTGCAGGATAAGAAATGAGTCTTGGACTTAGCCCTTGGTGAGAAAATAGGTTTTTTTTTTTATTCCCAGTGCCCAGTGACAAAAATTTTTGCAAAAATGTTGCATCTTTGCTACACAAGGGCAAAGAAACAAATGGGAATGCATGAAAGGTCGGATTCATGTCTGCTGCATTCGCAAGCAGAGGTACGAAAAAAAAATTTATATTTTCCCTTGTGTCGCAAATCTGATTTCAATTATTTACAAGTACTGTAGGAAGGCGGAAAATGTTCTCGTAAGGTCGTCGTCATCATCATCCACATGCCAGTAAGTCAGACCTTAGATAGCGAACCAGTCAGGAAAGTTCAAAACTTTTATCTCAGAAACAGTTATCTGCATTCCAGCCAAGATCCCGTCGTCTTTGTGAAGGATGAAGGTGCGATAAAATTTTTAAAACGGTTCCCGGGATCGGTTGTGACAGGACTTGCTGTGTTTGAGAATTGTATACGAGAAGATGATTCTGGAAACCCGCGCACTTTTCTTGATAGCTGTCTCAATGATGCTGGGCCTCATTGTTGATGGTGTGACACATCGTGAAGACAGTTCTTCGTTTTGTCCGGCGTCTTGCGATATTCATCACGTTTGCAGCACCGCCTTTTTGGACGAGACCGAGTGTCCGGTGGGTTCCACTTGGGACCCAAATGGTGGAGCCTGTGGATGCTGTGGCGCCTGCGTCCGGTATTTGAGTGAGTGTAACGTTTTTTTTTATTATAATATTTTCCAAAAATCTTACTTTCGTCAAATCCGTGCGAGGAAAAAAGCTTATTTTAAGTACAGTATGTGGCCCCGACTCACAGAAACGAGTGGGACCCCGAGATGCGAACGTAATTGGTGCATTGACCTTGTCCCTGAGTCAGAATGTCTGCATATAGTAGAACGGGAAATTTAAAATCAGCTTTAAATCTGCATTTCACGTTCAGTTGAATCACGATCGGTGAGAATATCCGGGATTATCATTCATTCTTCTTCCAATTTTTAATATAAAAGTTGCAGCAAAATGTGACTTAGACTAGCAAAAATCTGCTCGAAATACTTGTGAAATTTTTGTCCCACATCAACTTAAATTTTCCACATGCATATACTGTATATCACGATGCCACGGAGTACTTCCACGAATTCATTTTTTGAGCATTTTTATTGCGTCACTTGGTATGTGGGATTTTGTTGACCTGATCCTGATGCTTCCCCAACGTGACTCAACCCACGTATGGTTTTGTGCTCTGTCTTACGACTTATCCCGGTCATTTTGCCTCACATGTGTGTTACCTATTAAGGAACGCAGGTCGACTGTTTGCTGTTACATTCGTGTCATGATGTTCCGGATGAATCACTTGAGCGTACCTTCGTAAATACTGTAACTGTTTTCCGCTTTTGCTGGCGTTTTTTATCCCCTAGTTATATTTATGTTCTTCAATATTGGTGATTACGTTTTTAGAAAAAATACTGAATTGTTCATTTCGAAAAAGGTAGGGTTGATTTTATATGTGAAGAATAGAATTTCTTTTTCTGTGGCAAGATGCTTCCAATATCCTTTGGCATACAAATTTATGAGAAAGGTATTACATTAAATTTTTCTTTGGATGAACAATACAAATTGTATTCTTTAAAAAAACTTTTTCAAGTTGAAGTTGTAAAACTTATCTTCTCATATTCAGTTTGCTGAGAAGTTTGGTGAAATAAATTGTGGAAGAATACCCTGGTTTCTTATTGTACTGCTGAACATGTCCAGTTCCCTTGCGAAAGATTGTACAGTACATGGATTCTCCATTATGTAATATGAGATTCCTTGGTAATGTTAATCAGGTGATCATTGAAAATAAATATAAATTTTTACTTGCAGGGTACAGTCAATCCCTGCAAAAGGGACTTACGTTGTGCGAAAGACTAGTGCATTCTTTGAAAGCCTGCTAAGCAAATTCAATTTTTGAAAAATTAAAATTAACAGTAATTTTGCCATTACTTTTAAATGCACAGCAATCTGTTATGCAAATACTGTACAGTCCATTTCATGGGAGGAAAAACCACTTCTAGAGGTGGCTTGTTGTTCAAGAATCCATTGTGTGGTGGGGTAGATTGTATACAATACTGTATTTGTAAAGACTGAAAATGCAGTGTGTTACTTAGATTCCAGGACAAGTGTCATGCTAAAACACTCTCCCATACAATAAAGAAAATTCAGTGAAGGAAATCACTTCTAGCTCAGATATTCAAGGTCATACAAGTCTTTGATTTTAAAGTTTTTTCCCTCTTGGGAATTTTTTTCTATAAAACAAAGGAATTGAAAAAAGAGTAAGCAGGAGTCATTCTAGTGGAGGCACTGCATGCGAAGTTCCTTTAAAATGTGTTTTTACAGCATGGAAATTTCGCAACTTCATCAAGTGTCGTTTCCCTTCTCCCCGAAACAAAAAAGAGGAAATGTTTGCCACACTCTTCGGGGAAATTGCATGCACTGTAATGCTCATTTCATGCCACTAACGCAGTGCTGGATTCGAATCGATTTTGCTGCATGGTGATGTCCTATATATTATTTTTTATCGTTCCAGATGAAACCCAAAGGTGCTATGAGCTGGATTATGCCCCGAGGGAAGTTCAGGATGATGGCACTATCTTGATCCATGCCTGTGATCCGGAGCTGTTCGTCTGCTCCGTGATTGCGTCAGTTTCTCCACAGAACACCTGCACAAAGAAACAGGGTATAATGTCCCCACTTTGTCCAAGAGTGAATCATTAGTGACGAACTTTCCCTCGTCGTTATAGAAGTGGGGTAGAGACACAAAGTTTTCGGCTATTATTCCGAGTACATTTTTGATGACGTCGTCTGGGTGGGTTCTCTGCATGGGGAAAAGTGTAGCAACGGGGATTCATTTAGGAAACACTTCCTCAGTTTCAATGAATATCATCAATGAGTGCATCTCGAGTGATCATGCATTTAACTTCGGATCTTAAAATAGCAAAATATTTCTGTCGGTTACTTGAAAGAAACAAAGTATAAATTGCTATTTTTGTCATCGTCATCCTGGAAGCATTATAACATTTGCCAAGTGTTGTTGCTTTATACTGAGATTGAAACATCCAATGTATATAGCAGTTGTCCATGCAAAAAAGTTTAGTGACTCGTAGGAATAATTATGTCCCGAATATTGTAACCCACTCATTGAAATTGTTCGAACCTTTTGAGGAATTCTTTTGCCGAAAGAAATTACTGTACTGGATATTTCGTCACCGCGGCTGATGTGATAAAAATACAGTAACATTTTGTTAAAACGAACTTTCTGGGACTTTTCAAAGAGTTTGTTATTATGAATAATTTCTCACAATGAGATTTAAAAAAATAATGACAGGAAAATTTTTCACATCAGACCTTCACATAATCAGTAAGATCTGTTATCCAAAAACTATTTTACGAAAGTTGTTTGTCAACGATGATCAGTCGTTGATGACTCTTTCTAATAATTAATGGAAAAGGGGATCGGAGATTTAAATCGTTTTCCGCGACTTTCGAAGGAAACGCAAAAGTTACTCCGTGAGAGTATTCAAATGTTTATTTATTTATCTTCACACACAGTCGATACAATAATATTCTAGCGAGAGCGAAGCGACGTAGATTCGGCGTTCGGACAGTGTCTGATGCGGTAAACTTAACTCAACATAAAATGCACCTGTATATATAGCTTCGGCCGGCCGAGGTCGAGGAACGCGCATAGAAACCGATTCGGATCGGGGACATCATGCTTCGTTTGTT